TCTTCTTTAGAATTGGCGTGACAATTGCATGCTTGCAAACCTGTGGCTTTACACCCTTCGTTAAGCACATGTTGATTAAGTCCGTTAAGTAAACAATAAAACAGTCAGCATATTCTTTGAATACATGCGTCGGTATTGGGTCGAGTGAGCATGACTTCGTAGGTGACGAATTAACAACTTTAACAAAATTAACAATATCTGTTCTTCAGTCAACACTGGAAACGATTCGAGTGGAAACATAATATTAGTATTAGTAGAAATAACTGGAAAATTAAAACATTCAGTTGACTTTTCGGTCACTTTCAACTTGTCAGCAAAAAATTTTTTAAAATCATCGGCGCTATGCATTGAACCAACTTCATTTTCAACACTTGTCTCTTTTCCTAATAATTTATTAATCGTTTGCCATAAGTATTTGGAATTATTTTTAAATTGACATGTTTTCGCATGAAGTAGAGCAACATCGTCAGCAACTTTTAAAAGCTCTTCATTGAATATTTTAAAACCCAATTCGACATCATCATCCTGACTATAATGTTTCGAGATAGGTGAGCACCTCAAAAGCTCAGTCAGACGTTTTTTATCCACTCGTTTCCAGGATCTGATCCACGATTTCTTGAAAATGACTGGAGTCGGATTGATTAAAAATTGACCAGTTACTAAACCATGATCTGAATAGATACCAGATAGGTACACTAATATATCTTCTAACAAAAAACCATCCGATGTGACAATCAAATCCAGGGTACCACCAAGCACATGGGTAGACTGATTAATTCTATTGACAAGATCAAAACTAGAAAAAATATCAGCAAGGGCTGTTGCATATATATCTGACGAAGTTTCTACGTGTATGTTGAAGTCACCTGCAACTTCAATACTGCAACATAAAAGTGTGATTTGTTCTAAAACTAAAATTAATTCTTCAAAAAATAATTTAGCAGGAGGAGCAGAACCTGGCCTATAAATCACCAAAAAAATTACTGAAGTTTTCCGTAACGTCAATTAATAAACATATCGCTTCAAATGTAATTATCACTGGCTATGGAATTTTTACACATTTAAAGTGGTTTCTGAAGTACGTTACCAAACCACCATGCCCAGGATCATTTAGCCTAACTTGTTCCAAAAAACTAAAATCACGTGGTTTTGCCAAACTAAGACAAATATTATCAGGTTATTTATGCCAAGTTTCTGTAAGCATCAAAACATCCAAGCCATCATTGAGCACCCCATATATATATATATATATATATATATATATATATATATATATATATATATATCTTTACAATATTCTATAAATTCTACCGAATGTTTGGCGTTAATATGTTTGTAGTTCGTTTTTTCGATTTTTCTCACTAAAGTTTTTTGGTGAACGTTTAGTTTATTAAAATTCAAAATAAACTTATTTTTCGAATTCATGCTGCAAATGAGGCCATATTTCGATTCCGAATGAATCATCGTCAGTGCTCCTTGTTGTATATACAGGGAAATATTGACTTTGTCAAGATTAACTTTGACGTTGTAAAAATTAACTTTGGTGTGGTAAAATTGAACTTTGATGCGAATTAGGTGTCAGGTTTCTTAATTGGCTGGTCATTTTCTTTGGTCTCCTTTTCTTCATCGATAGCATCATATTCTTCTTTGTCACTATTTACGATGCTAGTTCTTCTTTGTTTTCGTTGTTGGTTAAGCGCCGGGTTGGAAGTGAGGTTGTCATTTTTTGTTGTATATTTATTTTTGGTTTATTGATGTCAATTAGGACTGCTTCTGCAATTTTAAGATGCGTGTAGTTGCTGTTCTGGTATATTACTTTGGTGTTGCTGTCGAGGATTTCACGGCTAATTGTGATTGAGTGTGTTGAGTCCAAATGAGATTTGATAGCACCACCCTGTTTATGCATCGTAAGCCTTCTAGTCAGTGAGGTAGTAGTAATCCCGATATATGAGTCATGTTGACGTGCACAGCCGTCAAAGGGGCAATTAAATTCATATATTACGTGATTACGCTTTAACTCAGAGTTATCTCTAGGACTGCAGTTGTTTTTCAGTATTAGGTGAGACGTCTTTTTATTGTTGTAATAAATTCGGAGTTTAACTTTACTATTTGGGTTGGTTGGTGTGACATTTTTATTGATGATATGCTTAAGAATAGCTTCATCTACCTTGTATGCTGTTGACATGTGGAGCACTGACGATAATTCACTCGGAATCGAAATATGGCCTTATTTGCAGCATGAATTCGAAAAATAAGTTTATTTTAAATTTTAATAAACTAAACGTTCACCAAAAAACTTTAGTGAGAAAAATCGAAAAAACGAACTACAAACATATTAACGCCAAACATTCGGTAGAATTTATAGAATATTGTAAAAATTATGGTCTATTACCAACATATATATATATATATATATATATATATATATATATATATATATATATATATATATATATATATATATATATATATATATATATATATATATATATATATATATATATATATATATATATATATATATATATATATATATATATATATAG